CGAGACAGGGTTCGCAGAATTGTGTCATTTGAGGCATAAAGATCGTCCGAAGGCCTCCGGATCCATCTCCCCCCTCCCACCCCCATCTTAATGTTCAAAGCCCTCCACATCACAAGGTTCAAGAGCCCTGCCAGCTGGGGGTCCAATCTTTGAACACCTTCAAAGACAATGATCCGGCAGTTTTGCACATTTCCATTACATGCTGCTTCCTTCTACGGAGCTAACAACTTCTATATTTGAAATTTTCATTCATTGATCCCAGCTAAATTTGGACCTTGAAGCCTTCTATAAATAAATAACCGGTCTATCACACGTTAGTCTCTCACATACTTGAAAAAGATACCATGTCTCCATGGCTGTTCTGTTCTCAGGCTGAAGCTTCTCATTTCATTTAAACAACCGGTTATGGCTGGAGATGATGCCTTGTAATAACTAAGGCAAGAGCAACCACGACTACAACAGGCTTACAACCTCCTACTATGAAACGCTTGGCTCCAGCTGAGTTTAAAAATGGGAAATATTTCGGATAATCTGGATGTTAGAAAGGCAATACAATGCACAAACAATATGTTATGCATCACACCCAGTGGGTCTGGGGCAGACGGATTTAAACTCATTAATATTTCTGTAGCAACATGCATGTACTCTCACACCTCATGAGATAAAGACCATAATCACTAGTCAGGTTTTGTCAATGAATGCATCTGCATCAAACTTACAAAGAACTCAGAGATTTCCAAGCTTTTTGAGTCTCAGAATTGTGGATGAAGAATCATGAACCTGTATTACTACTATTACTATTATTATGATATCCATTTCACAAATGTGGAAATGGAGGCTGAGAGAAGTTATGCCTCGCCCAAAATTATGTGTCTAATAAATAGCTGGCCCAGATCTTGGATCTAAAACTATCTACTTCCAAGTCCAGGCTTGCTCTGTTGAATCCTCTACCCTGAACTGGAAAGGACACTTTCCCAGACCATGATAGGAGATGTCTACTGCTCTTCCATGTTCTTTAGTCCAGTTTTATCAATGAAACAGTTAATCAACCACAGCCAAATAGCCATCATAATCTTTACTCTTCATTTTATCTATTGGGAGTGTTCTAACTCCTGCTTAATTTTTCAATGTACTCCCAGACCATGGGTGAACTTCGGAGAGAATACCCAAATGTGAAGCAGCCACAGAGAAGTAGGATCACCTAATGGAGCATGGCCTGAGTTACTGGTGAACAGATCTATCACCTGTTACTAAGTAGCAGAGACTCTTGGCAAGTCACTTAACCTCTCTGTGCTTCAATCTGTGATAACAAAAACAATACCACCTGCCCAATCCACTATATGTGACAAGAGTATAACAACATATATTTATTGACTGTCTACTGTGTGTCAAGTACTGAGCTTTACAGTGGAAGTACAGGAATAAAAAGACAGAGTCTTTACTTCAGGCAGCAGCTCGGTGTCTAGTTGGGAGCCTGATACAAAAATAACTGCTACACAGCATGTAAGGGCCCCATGCACAGGCTTCAATGGTGTTGGGAAGGAGGAGGAATTGTCAACGCTACTGGTCCTGGGGAGAAGGCAGGAGAAATGGGGGAGATTTTACAGGGAACACCAGACTGGGTCTTGTGGAATAAATAAGTATTACCATTACTCAAGGAGTGGGCAAAGGGAGAAAGCCAGTAAAACTGAAGACAGGGATACAAGGGGAACCAAGAGCGCTGGTGCCATGTGAGTCAAGTAGGGAGAGATTCTAGAAGAAACCGTCCTTGTCATCAAGGGGAATACTGAGGTCCAATAAGGCCCAATGGATTATCTTTGGTTGTTTCCATTGGGAAGGGCCAGACCTTTCAGCAAGGGCCTTTCAGGGCAGGGGTGGGGAGAAGCCAGGCTACCCTGGGTTGAGGATCAAAGGGGGAGCAAAGAGACAGAGACTGAGGTTCTCAGTTGGACCCCTTGGTTTGGAAGAGGGAAAAGGTAGGGCAAGAGCAATAATAATCTTGCTATTACTTTAAAATAGGGCACAAACTTGAGCATATTTATGAATTTGGGGGAGACAGCAGGCAGAGTCGGAAGGAAGGAGGACCAGGACACCAGCTCCAGCTGCAGGGTGGTCATAGCTACGGGGGAACTTTCAGGTGGGGGTTTTCATTGCAGCATAATTGGAGTAAATTGGGGTGGGAGAACTTGTTGCAAATAAAAGAGACTGGCGAGAAGCCTACAAGATGGTGTCTGGGGCTGGAAGGTGAGGGTCATCTTAAGGAAAGGGCTCCGTGAAATCTAATTTAGCTTACAGAGGCATGACAACAAAATACCTGTTTTTATTTGGGGCTGGTCACTCCTGATGAGGTGGAAAGTAAAATTAAGCTCTATGTATGCAGAAGCAGAGGGGCTTGAGGAAAAGGTGACAGCATGGAAGCCCTTAGTGGGACACGGGAAGGAGGCTGTGCACAAAAGTGTATGAGGACAGGCAGGCAGTGTTGTGTCCAGATCCCATATAAGGCCAGATTCCATAGACTTCCTGGGTCACTGTCTGTATAGCTATGGGATATTTCTCCAGTGCCAATTAGATAAGGAGGTTTTAAGAAGATCCAGAGTTGGGAGATTGAGATGGAGGCTTGTATACTGTTAAAAATCGAAAAATGCAATTGACTTGTAAGGATTTGTGCACTTTCTCTGGAGTGGTATGGAAAAAGAATGGGATAAGTCTTCTTCCTTTTTCTCAGACTCTTCAATTTGTGTACATTTTGTATTAACTCTGTTTCCCCTGTCTCTAAACCACAGTTGGTTTATTCAAAATCCCTGTGAAGGAAGATCTAATTCTTGGGTTTGCAGGAGTTGGGATATTTCAAAGGGTCTTTACCTGTAAGGTAAAAATATATTCCAAATGGAAGGACTGACTCAGGCCCTCTTTTCCACAGGCACCTGGTACTATCACCTGTTTTTCTTTATTACACTTCATCTTAAAATGTAGTTCTATAAGGCTTTGTTTTTCATAAAGCATTTTTCACATATTTATTTGTTTGACTGTTTCAAAGAAGAACCTGAAACCCAGAAAGGCTAAGTGCCCCTTCAGTGGTTGCATGATGAAGTATGAACCTGGACCTCCTACCCTGGGGACTGGAATTCTTCCCACAGTACTTCCTGTGGGCACTTGGCCCTCCTGTGGGATTTCACAGGTTCTGTCTGAAAAGGTTTTTATATGCGTTGAGTCTGGGAGATTCACCCCATCTACCAATCTACCAACACTGTGGGTCATACCCCTTTGAAAGTTTACCTCAGTTGCTTCTGAGTGTCTGAGAGTCCATAAAAACTCCAACATAGCCATAAAAATGGCCACGATTAAGCCACAAATAAGAACCACAAAGATTCCACCAATATTCTCCATTCCCAGGCCTGTAAGAAAGTGATAAGTGAAAAATTACATAAAAGAGCAGGTAGACATAATCATTCTATCAAAAATTCTAAAGACATTAAAATAAAAACTTGAATCTTGTAGATACTTGAGACACACATTCCTTGAAGAGATTGAATTATTTGTGTTTAAAAAATGCAGCATTATTGGAATAAACTGGGGTGGGAGAACTTGTTACAAATAAAAGAGACTGGTGAGAAGCCTACAAGGTGGTGCCTGGGGCTGGGAGATGAGGGTCAACTTAAGGAAAGGGCTCAGTGAAATCTAATTTAGCTTATAGAGGCATGACAACAAAATACCTGTAAATTCTAGCAGTTTCATAAACATTTTAGTCAATCTTCTTAACAATGTATTTGTGTGATATAAAGCAACCGTTTTGACCAAATCATGAATAATAAAATTGTATTTGCCCTATCTGTCTCAACATGTTGCTAAAATCCTATTAAGTAAAACTTTTTATCCCACCAAACTAGTGGTTCCCAAACCTGGCTGCCATCAGAACTGCCTAGAAAGCTTGTTAAAAATATAGATTTGATGCTGAGGTCATCTTGGTCAGCACCCAGAGCTTTTTGGCAGGAGCAAAATGTACAGATGATAAGATAGTGGAGAAACAGAGAGATCTTCACTGAGATTGCTGACATTTTCAAAGTCATTGAAGTTTAGAGATTTCCGGGAAGATGGCTGTGTAGCCAGTTAGACTGCATGAATCCCTGTGTATGTGAGTGATTGTATGAACAATTCTGCATATGTTTCTGTGTGTAAGTGGAAGTGTGAGAGGTTGTCTGAGTGGGGATTTGAGGGCAAGTGGTCAGGGCCCTCCTGGTGAAGCCACTGGTACCACAGCTGCTCTGCTTGGACCCTAGCACTTCCTGGAGTGCAGAAGCTGAGCACCATTTTCTAAGATCAGCAGAGCTTATCCGAGGAAGAACTGCTGGAGTGATTGCTGACCCCAACACCACGCTGGCAGCAAGGGCCACGGAGTGAGTGCAGCGAGGGAATCTGAGGCAGAGTCCTGAGGAAACAACAGGGAGAAGCCACCCCAAAACTGGACTGACTCCAGAGTCTAGCCGACAGGTCTCAAGATTCGAAGACTGTGGTAACTGCTGGAGAGGGACCTATTGACTCCACTGGTGACAGGAACAGCAGCCGGCAGAGAAACTAAGCAGACTCTTTAATGCCTGGGTAGAAAAGTGCTCCAGGGTGGCATCTGTGGAACAGCAGAATTGCATCCTGAGATCATTGGGGCTGTTCTTTGCAGTCTCAGATAACAATGCCCCCAGTGCACAAGCCCTGGTGGTTAATAGCAGATGTAGAACCCCAGACGATGTATCCTCCACCCTGAGTTAGCTTGGGAAGCAGGAGCCTGGTAAGTGCCTAACTGACTATACCCTACTCTGCCCCTAGCGACAAGTGAAAGAGATCAGGAGGGCAGGGCAGAGAGAGAAGACCCCACTCCCCTGCCATGAACTGAATGCCCCGAGCTGTGACCATGCTGGGAGCGGAAGGAAGGGGGTGAGATCCCGAGAGATGCTGTGTCAAGTTATCTCAGGCTCTTCCCTCATACAGGCTTGTGACACTTACCAATTGCAGGTAGCAGGGGTGAAGATTCTAGTATCTTTTTTTTTTTTTTTGAGTTGGAGTCTCACTCGGTTGCCCGGACTGGAGTGCAGTGGCCGCTTCCGGCCACTGCAGCCTTACCTGCTGGGCTCCGGCGATCCTTCCACCTCAGCCTTCCGAGTAGCCGGAATTACAGGCATGTGCTACCATGCCTGGCTGATTTTTTGATTTATAGTAGAGATGAGGTCTCGCTGCCCAGGCGGGTCTCGAACCCGCGGGCTCAGGCAATCCACTCACCTCAGCCTCCCAAAGGCGGGGGATTACAGGCTGAGCCACCGAGCCCGGCAGATTCTAGCATCTTAAATTCCAACAGCGAATAGGGAATCTGCAGTAACAGCCCTGCAGTTTCAGAACCCGTCATAAGAGGGAGCACCCCCCCAAGAGACATACTAATGCTGAGCGCTCTTTATCAACATTTTTTGGGGGGAGGGTATTGGTTTGTTTGTTTATCTCATTTGGTTGCTTTGTTTGTGGTTGTTTTTCTCTTTTCTTTCCTTCTATTTCTCTTTGTTCTTTCTCTGCTTTTTGCCTACTTTTTTCCCCCTATTTTTCTTTACTCTTTTTCTCTCTTTCTTTCTCTTTTTTTCCTCTCTTTTCTTTTGTCTTGGACTCAGGGGCTACACAAGCAAATTCACTGTGAAGTCATATTGTGCAGCGACAAAGAGCAAGTTCCAGTTGGCCCATTCACTAGATAGCAAACATTATGAACTGCCAATAGGTTCAGAATCCTTGCAGTCCCTCCCACCTCCTAACAAGTGCTCAGAATTGTAAAAAAAACAGCAGAACACCCCACCTTCAGCCCTACTTCATAATTAAACATACCCGGAACCCTGGCTCAAGAAAGGACAAAAGGTAGAGCAAATAGCAGAAGTGACTGCTTCTCCATTTTCCACTGAGCAATAGAATTAAAGAGAAAAATAAGAGAATTGCTACAAACGAAGAAAACTCAATGAATGGCTGTTGGCAACCATCAGAGTCCAGCAAAGAGTCAGTGCTAGAAAGAACAGCTACTGGGGCACAAACAATGGCTATCTTCCAGAACAACAGTACCTAGAAGGTACTTATGGAGATCAGAGAATTGTTGGACAGAAAGATTAAAAATCAAGAAATACAAGGGCTAAAACTAAATGAAATTGCAACAGAGCTAGACAGACTCAAGAAAGTGTACATAGAAATAAAGAACTTCACCCAAGAAATAAATAACAAACTGACAAGCGTGGGAAGCAGAATTGATCAAGCAGAAGAAAGAATCTCAGAACTGAAAGTCCAAAATATGAAATTAACCCAATCTATTAAAAATATAGAATAAAAACTTAAGAATAAAGAGGAAACTTTCCAAGAGATGTACGATTTTATCAAGAAACTAAACCTACGTCTGGATATGAATACCTGAAATAGAAAAAGAAATGGAAAATACCTTCGAACAAAGATTCCATGAGGTCATTCAAGAAAAATTCTATCACCTGGCCAGAGAGATGGCTATACAGGCACAAGGGACCCAGAGAACCCTTGCAAGACATCTTATGAGAAGACTAACCATTAGACACATAATAATTTGCCAACACAAAGTAGGTAGAAAAGTAAAATTCCAAAGGCAGCGAGGGAAAAAGGTGAGACTACCTACTGGAGGGGACCAATCAGAATTGCTGCAGACTTATCTACAGAAACACTATAGGCCAGAAGGAATTGGACCCCAATCTTTTAATGTTCCCAAAGATAAACAATTTCAACCAAGAATTCCCTACCCAGCCAAGCTAAACTTCATCACCAATGGAGAATTAAAATCCTTCCCAGACATCCAATCCCTAAGAGAATATGCTGCTTTGAGACCAGCTCTACAGGAGATGCTTTAAAAGGTGCTGTGCACAGAAGAAAAAAGAAACAAAAGAAAGACCATAGGCCGGGCTTGGTGACTCACTCTGTAATCCCAGCACTTTGGGAGGCTGAGGCAAGTGAATTGCCTGAGCCCGTGGGTTCGAGACTAACCCAGGCAACTTGGCATGACCTCATCTCTACAATAAATCAAAAACAGGCTAGGCATGGTAGTACATGCCTGTAGTTCTGGTGACTTGGAAGGCTGCGGTGGAAAGATCGCCAGAGCCCAGCAGGTCGATGCTGGGGTGACCGTGAGTGTGCCACGCACTCCAGCCTAGGTGACACACACACAGAGAAGCAGCAGAACACACAGCATACTCACAGAAATGAAAACACACACATATATGAACACAAAAGCTAAATGAAAAAAAAAACCAGCCTTATAAGAGTATTATGTCAGGGACAAACTCCTGTATTTCAATAATCAACCTGAATGTGAATGCACTAAATGCACCACTGAAAAGATATAGAATGGCAAACTGGATAAAAACACATGACCCAGTAATTTGCTGTCTTTAGGACACTCATCTCACCACATAGGATATCCACAGACTCAAAATTAGAGAATGGAAAACAAATTTTTAGGCATATGGATCACAAAAGAGGGCAGGAGTCATGATCTCAATATCAGACAGAACATTCTTTAAGCTATCAAAAATTTAAAAAGATATAAAAGGACACACATCATGATAAAAGGTTTGATCCATAAACAAGAAATATCCATCCTAAACATATGCATTCAACACCGGAGGACCAGCTTTTATAAAGCAGCCACTAAGTAAACGAAAAAAAGATGTTGACTCTAACACTGTCATAGCAGGGAACTTAAATACCTTACTAACAACCCTAGATAGATCATTGAGGCAAAAAATCAACAAAGAGATCCAGAATTTCAGCTTGGTGCTTGACCAAATGGATTTAGTAGATACCTGCAGAACACTCCACCCAACAACCACACAATATGCATTCTACCCGTCACTACATGGAACGTACTCCAAGATTAATCACATCCTCAGCCATAAGTCAAGCATAAACAAATTTCACAAGATAGAAATACTACCATGCACCTTCTCAGACCACAGTGGAATAAAAATAAATATCACCACCAACAAAATTCCTCCCAAACCCACAAAGACATTGACATTAAATAGCATGATGCAGAACAACTCCTGGGTCAACACAGAAAGCAAAACAGAAATTAAAAGGTTCCTGAAAACAAATGAAAATGAAGAAACATCTTATCAAAACCTCTGGGATGCCATGAAATCTATACTAAGAGGGGAATTTATATTTCTATGAACACACATCAACAACGTTGAAAAAGAACAAATTGACAGCCTAACAAATCATCTAAGGGAGCTGAAAAGGCAAGACCACCAAAATCCTAACTTCAGCAGAAGAATCCAGATCACCAATGTAAAAACTCAAATATGGGACATGGAAGTCAAAATCACCATAGAAAAAAATCAATGAAACAAAAAGCTGATTC